GTGGACTTGTTGGCAAATCCCGTATATATATATATATATATATATATATATATATATATATATAAAGAGAGAGAGAGAGAATATGTTTTTTCACCCATTAAAATGAGTAAATGGGATTTATTTCTGTTAAAGCATTTTTCTCTTTTCTATGCATATTTAGTTATTATGCATTTGTGTACAGTTAAATGAAAAGTATGTTTATTCATTAGCTAGAAAATACAATAAATTAAAAAATTGTGTGTGTATGAATGCTTTTCCCCCACTAATGTATATATATATATATATATAGGTCTGCTCTAAGGTTGTATTGAGCTCTTTTGTTAGTTAGTTGTTTACTCGTATCGGGGTTTTTTCTTTGGGCTTCAAACCTGCATCTGTGCGATTTTTTTTCGACAGACTTTCATGTTTTTAGCTCTTTCTTTTTTTAAAACATTTTTTCCTTCGTGATTGATTTGATTATTGGCAAATAAAAAATTCGAGGGTTTTTCGAAACGAGTGTAGTTATCTATATTTGTATATATATATATATATATATATATATATATGGGGGTGCTGTGTGTGTATTTGTATATGATCAGGTTAAATAAAACTAAAAAAAAGAGTCTACCCCACAAAACGGAATGACTTTAACTAACAAAGATATAGAGTCCATAATATTCTCGAAATCTTAAATTTTTAAACTGATCCAGAATACCACAGACACAATTCCAGGCACCCAAAGAGACGTTATTACTAGTTTCACGCGAGGAAGCAATCCTCAGACGGTTTAGTGATCATCAGCATACTTAGGTAACCGTTTGAGGATCATTCATTCTCTTTGAATTACACATAGATCCTATTTTACTCTCTTGGAGCGTGTATGTAAAATAAATAAGAAAAATTATAAAACCAAGTAGAAAATCAAAAATTTACAAAAATACCGACATTGATTTTTGTTCCTAGAACTAAAAAATCATATATATTCACTATCCTCGCCAGTTGCAAAGTGTCACTTTTTAAAATAAACAGTTCTTCAGTTTTCCTTATTAGTGGTTTCAAAATGAAAGATTAGAGATGCTTGATATTCAGATAAGACAAAGATAATCCGTAAAGTGCTTGCTCTTAAGTGAAAAGTTGAATATTCTCGAGTTGATAAGGAAAGAAAAAATGTAACGAATTTCATAAGCTGCACGCTAAAAACGAATCTGTCCATTACATAAGTTTTCATTACGGTCTATTGTCATACTTTTTTCAAGTCTATTACGAGCCATTGTGATTAATCTCTTATTGTGCCTAATTTATGAATTCAACTTTATCAACGGTATGTACTGAAAGAAGAAGAAAAAAAAACAGTATATATCGTGTTTGGTACTAATACACGCTCCTGTCTTCTGCGGGACGTTTCAGAACATATTCATCGTGGAAAAAGGAAACAGTTCTCCTCTCTCTCTTTATATATATATATATATATATATATATATATATATATATATATATATATATATATATATATAAACCTGTTTTGTTGAATAGTTTAGACATGTTTTATCTACTTATTTTCCATATGATCCTTTCATACTCGTGGATAAGCTTTTACGTTTTCTTATTGAAGTACGAGTTAAAATCGCCGTGTTGATACGTTTTTTTTTTTATTTCCAAGCACTTTCGACATATCAATGTCATCATCAGGATATTGTTTAATACAAAATAAATGTTGTAGTATTCATTATTGTCAAAGACAAATTGCTGAAAGTTAAATTTCTTACCAATGAAGTGAGGAACACCTTGTCAGTGCGTGACCGCTAAAACATAAAACACGACGATTTTCCATCGTTCTTCAATAATGATACCAAAAGGCTTTTCCACGCGCATGAAAGGATCTTATCGAAAATAAATAGCCCAACCTATACAATGAAACATGTCTTAATGAAAAGAATCTGCAGCGCATATATATATATATATATATTTTATATATATATATATATATATATGTATTAAAGGCCTAAAATACGCACACACAGTCGACCGGTTTCGTCCCCTCTCGTCATGAAAGGATTTTTATGAGGAAAATAAATAGCCCAACCTATTTGATCACGCATCACTTTTCCATCTAATGAAAAGAATTGTTTGTAGACTTGAAATATATATATATATATATATATATATATATATATATATATATATATATATATATATTTAATGCCTTAATACAATATTTATATATATGTATATATATATATATATATGTATATATATGTGTGTGTGTGTGTGTGTGTGTGTGTGTGTGTGATCTGCAGACAGTAATGTTTCGCAGTTCCTCAGTGCGACTAGACATCAGAATGCCTCAAGCCAGGATTGAAACTCAATCGATTTGATGTCAAAGTTTCTAACACTGAGCTACCTTCATTCGTCAGAATGAACCAGCTAAATCTAGCGTATTGTTTTTTTTACGAATGTAAAGATATGACAATCAGCCATAGGACTCTATTCATTTTACTGAACAGCAGTTATTTATAGAATT